GGAACTTATTACAAATAATAAAATGTTACTTTCACATCTACAATTATTTATTTCTTTATTTAAACAACATATACCATAACATGCCATTTATATAAAATTTGCCACTATCATGATTATAACGAAGTTATTAACATACAAACACATAAATTTTGCAGATACTATTATATTAAACAAAGAAAATTTACATACTGACATGTACCAGGTTTGACACGTGCAAAGACTGCAAACACGTGTGTGAGAAAACTCCACGAGTTGGCAACAACTAAATAAATCCATGTCCAACTTTTTCTTTCTATAGCCTTTTTTTAACCATTCAGTAGCAAAAACAATCTTACGACACACTTTGGTTTGGTTAGGTTCTTTTCATGTAAGATTTTCAAGTTCCGACAAAATCTTATGCCTAGACTACTATCATTACTGTGTAAATGTCCTTGAGCTACATGTAGTATCACTTTAATTTTACCCAAACAATCCTTACTTTCTCTTTGTTATTACTTGACAAAGCCACTGCTTCTTCGATGTGATTAGTCCCTTTTCTTTTATTACTAAAGATGATAGATTTTTTAAGTATTGGGATGTTTTTGACTCTAAGAATGCATTAACAATCTATTCAGGATAATGGAAAACAAACAAAGAACAAGACATGACTAAATTGATCATCAAAGAAAGTCAAGAGAACAAAAAGGAAAGAAAAAGAAATGTGAGCAACCTTTGTTCTTGATATAGCTATTAAATAAAGTAGTAGACACTTAGACCAAAAGTAGAAAACTGATGGTACCCATTTAACAAGTCCAGTACTCGTTCGAAACTCTCATGGAAATAACGTCGAACACCTGGTGTGCGTCATTGTTCAAAACAGATCTCTTTCATCTTCTCCGCTGTGGATTCGTCAATCGAATACTGCAAACGATTAAAACCAGATAATTAACACAAAAGGGTATCCAGAATCTACGATTCGAAAGCCAAGAATCTTCGAACCTTCTTGAGTACCCAGAGTGAGTGATTGTAAGCTCGTTGATAGAGTTCTTCGAGGGATGTTTCGCTTACGTCGACTTCACGGTAATTAACGAAATTCTCTCTGGCGTACTTGGCGTAGTACGGCCTCGTGTCCGCCGGTAAAAGCCTCACTAGCCTCAAAACGCCGCCGTATACTCTCAGCGCCTTCTTCATTTTACTCCTCTCTACCTTCTGCAACACGTCACCAAATCTTAGGACTTTTACTTACAAACAAATGTAGTTTTTATGGGCCTTTTGTAATATAATTATGGGCCTTCTTTAAATTAAGCCATTTCAGACTGGTGTAAACCGGTTCAATTTATTCAATTATGCTTTTAACTGGTTAAACCGGTCTTTATCCATTACAGAAACACAAATTGAAAAACTTTATGCCAAAATCTCTCTCTAGTTTGGAAATAAACAAAAATCTTTCAGTTAAATGAACCTATCTTCCAGTTTTGAGGAAATCTCTCTTTCTTTTGCTCCAAGTTTTCACTTGAGCATCACTGATTACTCCAATGCTATTAACTTTGAAGTCTTTGCATCCACAGGTGCCCCAAAAATGGGTAACAAACAAACAGAAGAAACTTGCGGGTGGGGGTTTTCTGAGTATGTCGTCACATTAGATCTAAAACCTTCATGATAGAATTTGAATCTATATCTACCTTCTTCTTTTTCTTGATCCGGGATTAGTTGACTCCGATGCCACATTCTCTGCAACGGAGTCGGTTTCCATAGCTTGTTTGCTACTTCCAGCAACAGATGTCTCACCTTTCTTCTGACCTGTCCTTAACTTTTCAACATCTTCCTTTGAAACCATTGTGACTAAAGGTTTGCTAGTCGAAGAACGCCTATTCCTAAACCAATTATTAACCTACACAACATAAACAGCTCTTAGCAAATGATCAAACCGGATCGACTACAAGTGATAAAATAAAAGCCATTCACTAGGAGAAACTTCTTACTTGCTTCATTGTCATGTGTAGCTCTTTCGATAAGAGCTCTTTTGTGGCATTGTCTGGATATCGATTCTCTTGAAAAGTTTTAAACAATCTCTGCATAAAAGAGGAATCTTATAAATCGAAAGCTCCCTCGTAATGATCTAAGATTGACATATTTTATCATCAAGGCAAATATAATTTTCTATTACCTGAGTCTTGGGATTTGTCTGTTTATATGCTGAAGAGCTGCTTTTTTCGCCAGAACAACCATTTTCTATAGGACTTTCTTCTGGGGCTTTCAAGGTATCCTTTTTGTCTGCTCTTTTTGATGTCCGTCTAGGTTTCTTAGTAGAAGTATGATCCTCTGCTTCTGAAGACTGTTTCAAGGGCACGGTAACCCCTTCATCTGCTGACTCGAAATCTTCTTTTCCCGCAGTTTTATCCCAATCTTCATCATCGCTCGATGATGACGAAACATTCTCATATTCATCCTGCACATTCCAAGCGATAGAAGATAGATATCATTTAGAGGATTTTCCAAAATCAAATAGAAGATCAATTATCAAGAAAAGTGAGAGAACACTCACATCATACAGCTTTTTGTAGTCCAGCCTTTCAACATTCCTTCTTCCGGGAACATCTGCAAGACCTTGATCAAGCTCAGCATCTGACTCTGAAACGGAAACATCTGGGAGCTTAGATTCTTCGCCTTTGAAGGAAGTTTCAGAATCCTCCGAGTCTGATAAATAATCTGAATTTGAACTTTCTTGCATTTTATCTTCATCACGAGTCAGGGCATCAGGATCGAAGTCATCATCCTCAGAATCATCGGATGGAAGGTTCATTATATCTTTCATTATATCATTCCCTTCTTTAAATGATTCAATCATTTCGTCAGATGCAGATGTGAAATCAGATTCATCAGAACTTCCATCTTCGTTCTCAGAC